GACACACCTGACATACAAGTTTAACAAATTTAGATTTTAATCCTTCAAGAAGCCTCTGTTTTTAGCTTGCATTTGGTCTAGGACACTTGGTGTCCAGTGCTCATGATATCTCCTGGGCTATTTTCATGGATTGGCCCTTCCTTAAGCCCGGGACAACATCCCAAATTCAGAGGTCCAGTGTGTGCCTGGGAGCACACAGCTTCTCCTCAAAGATTGCGTGCAGCATCTCTCACATTACTGACAATATTTGCTGGCTTTCCTGTAGCTATTCAGGAGCCACTGGCAGCAGTGAAACMCTCAAGGGTCACAGTGAGGAGTCCACCTCAGAGTGGAGGTTTGTGGGGTTTTCCCTGCTTTTTGSAGCCAGCGGTGCATGTCACATTAAAATAAGTAACAACATCCATAAGAGATAATTGATAAGGTGAAGTAATGTGCAATTGGTAGCATAGATGTAGAGTAAGAGCAGAMTATTTAAGCAATGACTGTTTCTGCAGTTGTAATGAGTATCTAGATACTATCTTGGGTTTTTACTGTCAAGTTCACCTGAGTATTACAATGGAATTCCCTTTTATTTCTCTCATAACAGACCGATATCTGATCTTTTTGAAGCCGGAATGCTTACTCTCTTGTTGCACAAAGTTTTAAACATCTTAGATTTGAACAAACTTTTAAATAGCACAACATAAAACATAGATTAACCTTTCCAATTGTGTGGTTCCAGACGTTAAACTGTAGAGACGGCCTAGCTTGTCATCACACATCAGCCTTACTAGGCTCTCTTTCTGAGTGAAGACTTAGAGGGCCTTTGCCAGATGAGGATCTGAATATTTGCAAATTATCTGTCTCTACCAGATCTGCCTGTAAGGACACTTTGTGCTTTCCATTTTTTAAATGGATGCTACTAATACGTATATTAACTACTATGATATTGTTTCTAACCTCCTAGAGACATTATTTGCCTTCTCACATTTCCCAGAATTGCTTTTTCTCAATATATTTTTCTTCAATTTCAATTTATGTGTACAAATAGTAAGGCCTTTAATGGTTGTCATCTGGTGTTTAACAAAGGACTTGTCAAACTTGTTAAAAAGAGACTTATTTTCAAGTGCTAGAAATTTAGGTAGAAATGTCCTAGTGTTTATTAGAGAGCAACATTGAAAAATGCTGACTGTTTTTCTTCAGCTTGGGTTTGTTTTCCCGGAGAAAACATTCATAATACTCCTTTTAAAAAGTGTAATTAAAAATTGCATAATTGTGCTAAAAGTATAGTTATYTTAACATAGCAGACTTTTGTAATGGTAATACAGTAATAGGCATCTWGGCAAATTGTTTCTATGTGGGGGAATCCCATGGGCTTGGAAGAATTAAGTAAAAATYTTCACAACAAATACATGAAGGCTTGTGGAGATTGAAGTATTCGGAACGGAAATTTTAGCCCATTTGTTTGTGGTCATGTAGAAGAACAGCTGTTAATTGATTAGCTTTGAATTCTGAGAATATCTTTCATAAATGTTTATTATAGGAATATATTTAGTAACTTCATTGCATGCAAACAATGACTTGAAGTGAGCAAATTCTTCTGGGCAGTGCGGTTGAGAAAGTTTTCTCTTCCCAAATCCTTTGTCCATCCCAAATCCTTTGTCTGAAGCAGGACTGCTGTTACAGCAGGAGGGAATGGAGCCCAGGAAATCTCTCGCCTGTTTGAGATACAGCTGCATCATGGTCTTCCATCAGCCTTTTAGGGGATATTAAGTAGCTTATAATTTCTTACACTGATTCTTTGCATGTTGTCCTCTTGCACCCATGACAGAATATAGTTTTTTAATAGCCCTGCAGCTGGGGGAGCAGTGGAACCAGACAGCACATGTTGCTTAGCGAGCAGGTATGGTGCAAACTTCACTACAGGTGGCTATTGAATAGAGGTTTGTTTGCCACAAATTATCCTCTGCTGAAATAGTGTGGACAGCAGTGCATCAAAAACTGTATAATAGCCATTGTCTTATGGTAATTCTGCTGCATATGCCACATAAATCTGAGCAGAAATTCTGAAGGAAAGGACTCTAGATCAATCCAGTGCATTTCCTGGCCACTATAATAGCATATAAAAGAACATCATACTTAGGAAATTCCCTCGCTTCTACCCATCTTCATTTTAAGTCCAAACTGGTGAGATCTTCACTTTCAAACCTATTGTAAGCCTAATTTATTGTGAAATGTTATTGAATTTGTTTATTCAACTTTAATTACTTGTGGAAATTACTTGTGTTGGATTAAAATGGAAGCATGCCATGCAACTCAAGAATTAAAAAGATGCTTTGATTTGCACTTGCTACATGGAGGATATGYGTGCTCTAATGCCTAGCACTGTGGTAAAATGTAATAAACTGGAGGTGGTGTTACTGCAATTATTATGTAAAAATRCAAGGTCTCAGTGGAGCCAGCCCTACTGGTAGGGTTGAGGTAAATGGTTCTGCATCATTTCATTATCCCAGAACTGAGTGTGAATTCCTGCTGGTGATCATGTAAGTCCATTTTCTTTTTGAGTTTCATTATTTTGCTTCAGATGCTGACATTTAAATGTCCTTTGGATYCCTAGACATGAAGGTGTGATTAACAAAACTGAATAATACACACACACACACATATTTTTTAATGCAATCGTACTTTAAAATTGCCTTGTTACCAACTTGCAGGTTAGATTTTGCAGGAACTGAGAATCAGCATGTAGGAGGTATTTATTTTTACTGAGTAAATAGGGAGAAATTAAAAGAAATATTAAATACACAATGAAATGTGCAGATTCCTAATTATCACCTGTCAAATTTTCATGATTCCACCAACTGTTTACCTAGGTTCTCTYGTGCATTTGGAGATGGTTGCCAGCTAGTTTCTCCCTTGTCCGCCCATACCTCCCTCCCCAAGTTGCACATTTTCCTGGTGTTTTTTGGAGATTTTGGGGCCCAACTCCTTCTCTTTTTTGCTCATTGACTTCCTTTAATTTCCAATAAAACCTCCTGCTTCAGGGTTTCTTGCAGACCCCTCCTCTAATTTCTCTCAGGGAAAATGGTTGCAATCAAGCAACAAGCAAATCCACATTGGAAAATCCCAGGCTTCTGCAAGGAGTATTCAAAGAGACTTCTCCTATGTCTTCTTAATAATTATTGCAGTTCTTTGGAAGGATGATTGCACTTCTTTTGGAAGAGATTTTTCTGGGAAACAACAGGAAGAAATGTGGCCAGGGAGTTGAACTGTTTGGCAATGAGAAAGTCTACAGAGCAAGATACGCCAGATCTAAAGGGGCAGAGGAGATTTTAGTCGCTGAAAGGAAATATTTATTTGGCAAACTCAGCAATCTCGTTCCTGGATGTTTTTGGAGCTGCTTTCTGTTTGCCTTTCCCTACTGGTCTCTTAAAACTACATTAGGATTTTGAAAAATCTTGATCTGCTTTATTTTATGTATTTCTAGCGTTTGTTCTGTTTAGTGTTGCTGTTGGTGGGAATATAATGTGTTTTGGAAAACCACTGAACCTTGAACTCGGCCTTGAGAGGAGGAAAAGTCATTTTCAAGTGTCCTGCTTTGAAATATTTGTTAGCTGCTTAGGCTATGTCCCACACTACTGACTAGGGATCTGGATTTATTTTCTTTTTAAAAATATTTATAAGTAAGATATGTGTTGAGCTTTAAACAAACCAACAAAAGGAAGCTGCGTGTGAATGCGTGTTTCTTTGCTGTGTGTTTGTGTGGRAAATTTCTGCAAATAGGTTGTGCCACGTGAAAAGTTGAGGTGAAAGCTGCTTTAATTTAGCTCATGCTACAGAGCTTTCTGTCCCTTTGGTGGCTCTAGAGGGTTTATGAGTTGGCTGCAACCTTTGAGAATGGAATTATTTTTCAGCTCAAGCAGTAGGCCCATGCGTTTAGATCCAGACACTTCTGTCTCTAATCCTGCAGATATCAGTCCATTTCTGTAAAACTCCTGATGTATTTTAATTGCAAATCCATCCCTTTCATGTAATTYGGCCCTAGAAATTTGGATTTGGTTGGGCCTTTCTGTTTGTCGTGAAGTTATGGACAGGCCTGGTTTTGAACTTCAAGGCTAGAGCTGCGTGCGCTTGCAGAGCACCTTTTTCTCCTGTGCTTTATGTTTCTGTCCTCATGGAAGCCCGAGGTTGGTGCCGGAGCTGGGGCCCTGCGCTAACCAGGGCTTTTACACAGTGGGAAAGGGAGAGTAAATTTGTCCAAATCAGTATAGAGACCTCAAGGGAGGGAGTGAAGAGGAAAAACTTTTCCACTTTTCAATGGTGGCCACTGATGGGACTAGAGGAAACAGCCACAAACTGAAGCACCAAAAGTTCCACAGGAATTAAGGAAAAATTTCTTGACAGTGAGGGTGCCCAAGCCTTGGCACAGGCTGCCCAGAGAGGCTTTGGAGGCTCCTGCTCTGGAGATCTTCCCGAGCCGCTTGGACGCRGCCTGTGCCCTGTGGTCTGGGTGACTGCGTGTACAGGGGATTGGACTAGATGATCTCTAAAGGTCCCTTCCAACCTTAAGGATTCTATGATTCTATGATAGGGTTATTAGAGAAACTGTTATGATCATTTCATTTCTGGGAATGTTGTATTCTTTACCATYGTAAGACCATGAGGCTAGCTTACCAAGTTTCAACTGTATAAGGCACTAAACTCCAGGAGCATTTAATTATGCACAGTGCACAGGCTCCATAGCTGGACATGGATTTGAACAGGAAATACTGTTTCTTATAATTAGCAACATGACTGATTTGCAGTGTATTTTCTCATTTTAGTTTAGCCTTCAGAGTTGCTTACATCAAAATACGTCTGTTTCTTATCACCGTTTGCTAGCCCAGTGAGTCTGGAGTAGCTTTGATTTGTAGGGCAATGGTGCTGCTTGTTTTTCTACTTGATGATTTGTCTGTGTAATAATACATTAGAATTTTTTTTTAACCTTTTGTTTTTAACCTTTTTTTACTTTTTTCGTGCAGATATCCATGGAGATACAGATCAGCTGCACGTTGGCACAAATATGCATCTCACATCTCTTACAGGTAAGAAGAGCAGGTAGAGTGTTTCTGTTAATTGTACTTTGGTCACTTTGGGGCTCATAGATATTCTTCTACCTACAGCCATCATTGCAGGAAGTTCTACAACTCTGTCTCCCTGTTAAAGGTGCAAAAGGTCCTTGTTATATCTCATATTTAAAACTTGTAATTTTTTTTAAGCAAGAAAAGGCAAAATGGGAGAACGATAGACAAAAGAAAAAAAATTTAAAGGCACTGTCTTGGATGGTTTATGCAATGCTGAGTTATAGATCTGCAGGTGCTGTGCTATCCGCAGTGCTCTGAGCACTTGAGATAATGCCATCTGGGGCAAGTTATTTGTTGGGACAGGACAGCATGAGAAACTTTGAAGTTAGTAATAAAAAAAATGAAGCAGCTGGAGTCTGGCAGAGGAAGAAACAAGCCAAGCATGTCAACCCTTGCTATTGAGGGAATAAGAGTATTGTATTGGAGTTTTTTTTACAGATGTTTGGAGGTTTATTCTTACTGTAGAAGTTGGCTGCTTTATCTTTTACGCTAGATTATGAGAGGGTAGAGGGAGGGTTGCTAAGGGTGATGATTATTTTTAAACTTTAGGAAATAATCCATCAGTAATTATAGTAATTATGGTTTTGTACAGAAACAATAATGTGGCCCATGATCCTTCAAACTCCTCCCTATTTATCGAGGCACATATGTCTACAAAGATAGCTCTTTTCACCAACAACGTTACAGTTCTGGTTTATCTCCTGATAGGTTAAAAATAGAAGTTATATTTAATATGCAAACACTGGCTTAAAGAAGTAAAGCACATGTTTTCTATTTGGCTTAAAAATCAGACTTGTTTAGTCTTTTTGTTTTGCCAAATAGAACAAAAATAAAAAAGAAAGGTTTTAGACATATTTCTTTGTTCTTATTGTTGCCATATGGTGCTAGTAACCAAACCTCCCTTCAGTGTGTTTAATTCCTTTTCCATTTGGCACACATTCGCAGTACACTTGTATATAACATACTCTCTGTGTGACGGTACCTCTCGGAGAAAAACCCTTTTCACAGGTCACCGGATGGTTGACACACCATTAATTTTTATGTTGCTGTTAAACAAAGATCTGGAAATTTAGTACTGTACATGAATTTGTTATAGATTGCCAAGCACAGGAAAAATTCCTAATCTGAAATCTGACCTTTTCCATCAGCAGGTCGCCAAAATGTTTTCAGTCATTGTTGAGTTTCTACCAGTCAAGGACCCTTATGCACTTATTAAGGGTGTCAGTTTTCACAGTTTATATGAACATATTCTATTAGACGGTGACTATGAATTTGGAGAGAGAAATGGAGGTCGACTGAGGTCGCCAGTTGCATTTATTGGATTTTAACAAGGAGAAATTTTATAAATACAGCTAAGTAGATGATGGCAAAATTGTTCTGAGTACTTCCAGAACTTCTATAGAGGAAAAAAATAGCTSTGAAGACGACCCATCTCCCTGCTCAGCCCTGCTTTATGGAATGTGGTGCGTTTTCTACTTTGCTTTTACTGTAGTGAAAGACTATAAGCATTATTGCGTATTTGCAGCTGAGAAGTTTAAGAGGAAAGTCTCTTAGTATGGGAAATAAAATGGAATATCACATTGGTGAAGGAGGAGCTGGGCAAAGACTGTACAAATGCTATCATAATGAACAGCCTAGGTCAGATTCAGGGATCAGTAAATACAGTAAATAGACATGCTTTATAGCATATATGTGAACATGAATACAAGCATTTAAACCTCTGTGCTTTTATTTGTGCATGTATTCACATAGGCATCTCTGAAAGTATAGATAAATGTGCCATAAAATGTATGCCCTATATACCTGCCAAGGGTTAGATAAAAGCAAAAGATGATAATGGTAGAGCAGATGTAAGAGTAACTTAATAGCTGTGTCTTTGGACCCATGTAGAGTTCTAGGACTAGGAGCCTCCTGTCCTGGAAACTTGCAGTCATGAAGCAAAATCTGCTGTGGAGCTGAAATAGGATATCCATAAATTTTTTACAGTTAAAATCCTGAAAATCTGGGTTTTATGTTTTCTTTGTGCATCTAACAAAGTTGAAGACTTCAGATTTCTTTTTTCTTCTAAGTCTCTACATTGGATATTTTCTAAGGATTTTTAAGGATAATTGGATAATCCATTGCCAGGTAACTTTTCTATTGAGACAGGTAGATGGAATTATTCTGTTGATTTCTTTCTGCTTTTAGCATTTTATATCCAACAAGAAATTGAAATGTAGTTTGTCTGGGAAATTAATATTAGAGTAAGCGTTAGGAATGTAGACTGGTATGCTATAGTCTTTCAGCACCCCACATTCAAATACTTGGGAAGTTACTAGAGACCTTTGGGAACATTCTTTTTTTATTTTTTTTTCCTCCTTTTCTTTTTTTAAACCTGAAAACAGCTGTTGAAACAATGACATCATAGAGTGTGGCAGGACTGTGGAAATTATTAACAAAGTAAAGCTTCGATAGCATCAAGCTACATATAGTGTCAGTGAATATGCAATGGTTTGCTTTGGTGTCGAGGGTGATTTACAGGCTTTCCGTGGGCATTACACATTCATATCTTCAYTGTGTGTCAGCTTCACTTCTAACCAAATAAACGTATGTGTTGTTCTTCTGTTCCCACTCTGAGTAACCTATTTTAATCCTGCAGACGTGGTTACAGACTAAGCTTATGGGAGTTCTTTTGGAAAAACAAAGCACACATGTTGTTTGCACATCTTTGGGATGTTACCATAAATGTGCTTTTGAGCAGCGTTCGGAAGATGTAGGACTTCTCGTGTGTGCTGATGGTGCGTGAGATTTGCCAACACAAACTTGGGCASCTGGGCTTTGTAGAGGGGGTCTGGGTGGGGAGTGCCGAAGGCTGCACCAACAGTGAGGATAGACCAGGGAAACTGTAGCCCTTGAATCCTGCAGAACGTGTGAGTGGTTGTCACACGCGGGTGGGGTGCTGRTTCCCTAGGGACACACAAATTGTCCCTGTGCTCTTGCTGCTTCTGCAGAGCTCTGCCTTCCCGAGATGCAAGGGGCTTAGCTGGCACACGTTGCTCCATGAACTGGATTTACTGTCTTTGGCCCCGTTTATTTTTGACTTCCCAGGCGGTTGGCAGCTGTCTTAGCATGACAAACACTGTATGAAATTTTATTTTAGCAGATTTTTTTTTGTTGTTGTTTTAATTAGTCACTTGAAGTGTGCTTTGCTACAAGTCAGATGAAAGCAGGTTACTGCTATGGTGACATAGTAGATAATTAACAGAGGGAAAAGAGAACCTACTTTCTTATTTTCCATTGAGAAACTAGAGTTTTAATTACCAAGGCAGCTGGSCTGTGCATAGACTTGTCCCCAGGAGAGTCCCACACTGTGTAGGGCCAGAAGGCTGAGACTGCAACAACGGAGAACGTGGAGGTGCCACCTCAGACTTGGTGGAAGAAGAACGTGGCTTGTAAAGCTGCATCTCCAGTGCAGAGCCTTGATGTTTTCTGTGGATGTAAGGCAAATACAGATGCACATTTGGATGGAATTTAGAAATACTGCCAGTGTCTGCAATATCTCATTTATTTTCCATGGAAAACATCAGTGCATGCTGGAAGCGGTTTTATGCTTACTAGAGATGATAAATAAATATATATATATATATGTGTGTGTGTGTGCACGCATGTGTGGTATGTTGGTATGTAAATACTTACGTTATATATTCGCAGATATTCATCCCTTTATTGTCTAATAAAGAGGACTGTGGTGGATAAAAGCACCCTGTGAACTGTTCCTCAAAGATATTGCCATATGCTGGTTTTGGACAGTGAGGGTTTCTGTGTCTTTATATTTCCATAAAGTGGCACAGTGTGGAGATGAATGAAATACAGTTAAGCGATGTATGTAGTGGACTGCAAATAATGTGTTCTATTCTGTTTTTATTTTAGGAAGGGATGCGGTCCTGCATTTAAATTCACCTCTTTCTGCAGCAAAGGTGTCAGTGAAGTTGCCTTCCATGAATATGGATAACCAAACTAGAAGCATCAGCAGTATGCATGGGGATTCAGATTCTTCAGGGGAAGATATATTCTAAAGCTTATGGCTTTAGATGATAGTTCCTGTCTGAAGATTTTATCACTGATAAATTTTGTATGCCTAGTATGATAGTCTGGATGTTTCATGAAAATATCTGTATTTCCATACTGCTTATTTTCTACTTTTTTCTTCTTATAACTTTGATATAATTATGATTGTAAATTTAGGCATTTATTTGTGAAAATATCAAATATTTTTAAACAAATAAAAAAGCTCCATCAGAATTATTGCAAACTTAAATAGACTTCACCTTTATTATTTCATGTACAAATTAATGTGGAAGTGATCCGTATTAAAATGCACGGTAAAATTTTCCTCCTGTTGAAATTAAAAAAAAAAAAAAAAAAAAAAACCTGCCCAGCACAGCATCAATACTGTCAAAATGGGGAGCCAAAAAAAATATATATACTTGAACCTAGGATTTGCAAGAAAAATGTTCTTTTAAAATACTTCCAGAGCTTGTTCATCTTTAGAAGACTGCCAGTAGAATAAGACAGTAGTTCAAAAGTGCTTGTAGAAAAGACCCTCAGTGTTTGTATTGTTTTAAGACACATTTATTTTTGTTATGATTACAAGAATTTGTCAGCGTTTTGATGTTTGTTTCCCTAAAGATGTTTCCCATCTTGAAACATGTCTCAGTGAGAGATTGTGAGCACCAAGTTATTTGCTTGCATTTGTTTTATGTAAATTCCTCCTTCTCATGAGAAGGATCGAGCTGCCGCAGTCTCAGCCCTCGGAAGCACAATGATCTCTAGTCAGAAAAACCATGGTAATAATTTAGCAGCAAGGGTGTCCAAACACACTATTGCTGCTCTCCAAAGAACTGCTTARTTCTTTCATTGCTTGAATCAGGTCCATGTGGTCTTTTAAGAAGGGCAAATGCAACTTTTGTTCTGTTCCTCATCCAATCCAACTTTTCATGGGATATTTATTAAAAATCCAAGACCGTGTGGCATTTTCAAAGACACTTACCTTGAAGTCATCTCTCAAAAGCTAAGAAAAATACAGTCCTTTTTGGTTGACTTGTACTTTGTTATGATATTTCAGCATATAACTTCATTTGCCACAGCTTTACTATGTCACCTGATGAGAGGCACTTTGTTGTTTCAGGTATTCGTAATTGTGAACAGTTTCCTTTACTCTGTTTTTTATGGAGCCTGCACTGATTTCATTTCTCCTTAATAGAGAAAGATTAGAAACTCCACTTGGTTTTATTTTGGTCTCATTGACTACAAGGTTCAGTTGATTTGGCTGCAGAATCTACAAGGATAAATGGAACAAGAGGGAGCTTGAACTATTCAAGGTCAGTCATAGTCACAGAATTCAATTTTATAAACAGTCTATTCAGCACATTACAGAGTTGTATTCCTGCCTGTKCTGACAGGCATGTAGAAAGTAGATTCATGTGTGTTTAGGGGGTAAAAATGTGACAAGCTTCATGCAAAGTAGAACATCACTTAAGTAAAAATGCAGATGAGGTAGCATAAATGAAAGTTGGGTTCGAACATACAATTTCATGAACAATTTCTCTAGTATAAACCTATAGATGTTCTCTGCTGCTGGTGGCTTATCATCATCTACTTGGTTATGCTGATGCAGCTCTCTGTGGAATGATACTGTAAATCAAGTTATTGACATGGTTAATGGTTTAAAAATAGCAATGTATTTCTGGTGAGAGGGAGATATTTGGGGTTTTTCAACCTGCATCASTTTGCTGCATCCTGGCATTAAAGAGATGCACTGGAGCGACTGACAGGAGAATGAAATGCAGTTGGGAGAACAAGAACTTCTTAAACCAGCTTTGCTGCAAGTGGGAACCTTTCTGAAACTAAGTTCTGGTAGTTTTGTGAATCTGCTAGCTTTTTTTGTGGTGCTAATCTCTAAATTAGGTCCTTTTTTGTTACGGTGCAAATAGCAAATGAGCTGTCCTGTTCTTGTGCCCAGAGCTGTAGGCCTGGATCGGAGCTGCACTTCGCTAAATACAGTAACAGAACTGAGAGCATTTCCAGCCAGCTGCCGAAGCAGGTATAAGACATGAGACAACAGATGGATACACAGGCAAGGAGAGAGGAGAAGGGAGCAATGAGACAATCCTGGCCAGTGGGAGAGGTAGTTGTCTCATTGTACTGGGAAAATATCTGTGTCAAATATTACTTTCTGCAATGTTGAGAGCGACCCGTGTTTCTCTAACTCACTTTTTGGGAACAAATGCATTTAGCTTGAAGATGTTGTCATTGCCATTGACTGACTCCTACAGAAATGAGCTAAGTGTTTAAGCAAATTGATGAGAAAATGCCTACTTAAGACCATTCTTCAGATTATTTTCCATATAGAGCTGTGCAGTTGGGCACAGGTTTATGCTGTCTCCTGACTTATGTGGCTGGTGGGTCTTTTTGGAAGCATTTTGGAAGCTTGGTGGTATGGTTCAAAGACGTGGTGCCGGTAGGGATTGCGCTGTGCCAGTGGGATGTGCCAAGTGTCCATCCCCACTGCACTGTTCCCATTCAAAGACAGTTTGTGAGAGGTGAAAACAGTGCAAATTGTTTGCTTCTCCTTCCCCACAACTGAAATACCTTGCCACATAAATATAAATAGACCTCTATAATTCTAGCACCTTGCATATACATYATATTGCAAGCAAATATTTCTAATCTTAGAAACAAGTTAAAGGCTGTGCAGTTTTTAAATCAGACTCCCCCTTTTGCCTTTGAATTGGAAAAAATGCATCTTCTAGAAATCTATATATATATTTACTATTTCTTACTTTTGCATTTAGTTTTATTTCAGATTCCTGCAGCTTTCCATAGTCTTAAATGGCAAGCACATGTTGTGTGAACACAGCCAAGCCGTGATAAGGAATTCATCTGTCAGTGTCTCCAATTTCCATTTTGTTTCTACAGCCTTTATGATTGAAAATGCACATTTCTCATGGGCACTCGCAGCACTGAAGCAGTATGATTTGCAAGCTTGCTAAATGGATTTCTTCCAAGCAAGTCATTGGGGTTTGTCATCAAAGCTTAACAGCATCAAATAGAATTCCATCCAGCAGAAGTATTAAAAAACCCCACCTCTATACAGCTGTATTTTTCAGTTATTTTTCAGCAGCATAGAGGTGGTGGTGGTGGAGTTATTGGGCTCCAGGTTTGTAGCATGGAAGCCAAAACCTTTGCCTTCTTTCTCAGTTCAACTGATTTCTTGGTGAGGCTTTCTTGAGTCTTAAGTCAGGGAACACTAAAATGAGAGTCATGGGTTGCACTTGCAGCATATTAAAGCAGAAAATGGAAATGGGGGAACTTTTAAAATTATTTTTTAGTTTTGGCAGGCCATTTTTTACTGTCTTTGGTAAGTAAAACATGGCAATTTAGAAATAAGGTACAAAAATCAGTTCTTTTTCCCTTCCTCCTATAAGTAAAAAGGAAGATGCAGTGTCAGGGTGGCAGTAGCAGTAGAAGGAATGTCCAGATCGGCAAGGACAACATGCGATTCCCAGCATAGATTGGGATCCTATTTCCTTGGAACTGTTGACTCTTGGGACAAGACTTCAGCTATAAACTGGTAGTTAGTTTGTCTGATGTGAGTGTCATCCTTCCCCTGTTTAAGTGAATTATGTTGTTTTTCAGTGTAGGTAGCAG